ATGTCAGCTCGTAAACCAGCCGGCCATTCCGAGAGCGCAGTTGTGAGCGCTACCATTAATGGAGGTGCTATTTGAACGCTTAGGCATCGACCTCATCGGGCCATTTCATCGGAGCGCATGGGGATATCGCTTTGTGTTACTGTAGTTCTGATGGATTACGCAACACAATATCCCGAGGCAGTGCCGTTGTGCACCATTTCCGCAAAGAGTGTTGTGCAGTTACTGTTGTTGTCACGTGAGAATTTGCTCCAGGCAAAGGAGCGTTAACAACAGCTGTACAACAGAGGGGCCAAGCTGAGACAATTTACAGCAGGAGAAAAATCACTATTGCTTCTTTCTTCTAGCTCAAAACTCCTCGCCAAGTGGCAAGGGCCCTTTCTGGTCACACGGCGAGTAGGTGACGTCGACTACGACGGGGTGGAGCAACACAGATCTACCACCTCAAACTATGGAGTTGGTGTTTCGGCCCTACAGCACTCTGACCAAGGTTGCAGTTTTGAAAGAACAATAATCCAACAATTGTGTGGCATGTATGGCATCAACATTTCTAGAACCACATTGTACCACCCGCAAGGAAATGGTCAATGTGAACAGTTTAACAGAACCCTTCATGACCTTCTGCGTAAACGTGGTCGATTAATAACTATTCCTACGGGACAATAACCACAACCCCGTAGTAGCGGTGGTCACATGTGTATATATTTGTATGTAACCCTGCTGCAATAGATCATAGAGTTTCACTTATACTGCAGTACCATATTCTACTTCCACTTACACGTGTCTTTGGGTTGAGAAGTTTTCCGTACCTCTGAACCCACCCGGCCTCCTGATATGTGCTTGGGTTGGTTCTGTAATCCAGGTTGGTATTCTGTTTGAGAAAGAAAAGTCCAGATACCATGGTTTCATCTGTGTCTACTATACTCATGATAGAGCCCTTGGACCTTTGGATTTGGTGCAGTGTGACAACCTGAGGTACTTTATGTGTTGTCTCATTGTATGTGACTGAGCTGCTGCTGATGGTGCTTGGCCTTGTGTTTCTCCAGCTGTAGGAAGACCATACCTTCTTCTTGGAGGTGTTGCGTGTACCCTGCATTAGTGTTCTCATCCGTGTGTCACGCAGCAGTGTGAGCTGCAAATTTAGTCCACTTGCACGGATGGCTGTTTTTCTCTGTGGGTTTCCTGTGGCCTGATCACACGGCGGGCAGAACGTTGTCGGCTGAAGTTTTTGCTTCTCAGTATTGTGTGGTTACTTCTCAGAAGAAGTACTACCGCCTCAAGCCCACCCAAGCCCCCCTCTCCCTCTCACCCAAACCAACCTGTCTTAGTGTACGTTGCCACTCTTATTTGTTTAAACACTGGTTGAAGGGATGAAACACACCCATGTATATATATATAAAATGTTCATTTGTATGTGTCACAGCGGCCATAATGTGATCAGGGGTCCGTTTCAAGGAGGAGGACTATAAGGAAGCGCGGATGGCCTCTGATTCATGGAGGGAGATCTCCGCAAACGTCGGTTTGCCGGTCGAGGGGAACAAAGTTGTGGAGGAAAATACTGGACAAATGTGTCCGCGATGGAAAGCAACAGTGGCGATGCACGGGGCAATAAAGTCTATGATACATAAATAAACAATTCATCGACTTCCACACACAAAGACGTGACTCTCTGGGTCGTCCTCAACAAAAACACGTTACTCCATCTGACGTTTTAGCAGTGAATTGCTCTGCAACACACGCAAGACTTTTGGATCCATGAATTGAAACGGGTGCGTCGACACAGCGGTGCGTAAAGACGCAGAGGCAGAAGCATGCGGCAGCCTTTAGTTGAACCACGTACGAGGAACAGGGCCCAGGGTTTAGTGGAAACTCTGAGTTTGTTAACCCTGAGATGAGGGCAACTCTGTGTGGCAGGTTCGACCTATGGGGGGGTCTCGGAATGATGAAGATGCAGTCGGTTCCATTTATGCAGTCTTTATTTTATGCTCAACAGCAGCACACGACCGCCTCCAGCCTCCTCGCCTCGCTCAGCACCCCTTCTGTCGCCGGATCTCCCCTTCTTAAGGACAAACACACACAATGATTAATCCCACCTGAGGCCAGTTATGCCTCCTCCCTTCTCCGTCCCCTCTGCAGCTGAGCAAAACCACGCCCGCCACCACACTCTGGATTGTCTGTTTCACAAAGGGAGGTAACTAAAGCTCACGGTCAGTCACAATGGTAACTGAGCCTGTGAACATACCACACCTGGTCAGGAGCAGGTTTTCTTCTCAATAAACCTCAAGTTTCTTTCACTGTCTCCTCCCTCTGACAGCAGCCCAGACAATCACACAGCACGCTTTCATTTCCTCATTCATTCAAGTACTCTGTATCAGGCGGATTTTAGTGCAGTTTCCACATATGCACAAAATAAGATGTTACGTTAAAAACTAAAGTGTTTTCTGGAACATGGCACATCATTTACTGGACGATCCTGTTGATAAAGAAGCGGTTTTACGTCTCAGGGTGTTAAACACGTCGGTTCAAGCCTGTGTGTAGTGCATTCTAACAAACTGTAAAAAATGTTATTTTCCCACTGGGAATATATTAAATATTAACTGAGAACACTCAGCAATTTTTTTTTTTTTTTCAACAAAAAAAAACACGCCGTTTCTGTCTTTTGCTGCAGTTGCTTTTTTTCTAATTATGGGTTCATACTCGCTGTATGCTTGCATTAATATTTGCAGCTCAATAGGGGTGAATAAATTGTTTCATACTGTGGTGGTGTATGCGCTCAACTCTGAGTCAACCTACTCCGAGTTGATTGAACCAACAGCTGTTCAGAGTTTCCCATCTCAGGATAAATCAACTCAGAGTTTAGGGTTTGATTTAGAGTTTGTTAAACCTCCTACTTGAAACGGACCCCAGGAGGTACAAGGGGGAACTTATTTATTGTCAGGAACCAATGGAGGCAGATGGGGGAATGGCAGGGAAATCCAGATGGGGGAATCCAGGCAGGGAATCGGGAGGATGGATGACTGCGAGGACACAGAATAAAGGGGCAGAGGAACGTAGAAAAACTTTAAACCAATATATCTGAGACATTTATTAACAGAACAGCCAAGCGTAGTCACTACCAGGTTAGTTAAAACAACAATCTGGCGAAGAGTGCATCAGGAACCAGGGTAGATGTACTGCAAGGTGATTTGTAGATTGAAGGCAGCTTGGTTGCCTGAGCAGGTGAAGTGACCTCTAATCAGAGAGTCTGAATGGGCTTCAGTTTGGAGTCACGCCCCTCCACATGATACCAGCAGGAGGCATGGCCTCACCGTGACAGTTATATTATGACGTAATGGTTTCTAGTTGCTCATCTCAAACTCATCTTTTTTAAATTGGCAGAAGGAGAGCTGGTAATGCTAGCAGCACTGGAGCTAACGGCTAATGTGCAGAGGTTGTATTTAGAATATCTCAAAGGGACCTTGGCTCCCTTTTTTTGTGGATCTGATCGTCGGCTTAAAACACGTGATTTGATTCAGATCCTGACGTCCTTTTGTTGTGTTTGTTCTGTTCATGAGAACTGATAAAGAAGTTGTTAGCATTGAGTGACTAGCATGTTGTCGATGTCTTTGCATAGCTTGACAAGCTGTTGCTCTCCGTCTTGCTTCAGAGGCCAAACTGTCTGCAGACGTTCATCATCATCGTTTACAGTCTCTAAAAAGATCTATAAGAAGAGGCCAAGTATCAATCATTACCAAAAAGACCGTTCATGGCTCTTCTAAAAAATGAGACAAATGATAATTTTGGAGGTTTGACCACCTAAACACAACAACAGGAGACGTGTGTTGGTCTACGTTCACACACATCATCTCAGAGGACGGATAGAAACACACAGTGTCAAAGCTTCATGGTGGGAACTATCAAACACACTTTTCTTTACATTGGTGCTGGAACACGGTGTGATATCACTGATGCTGTGGTTGCTGAGGTACCGCTATGTGCGTGTGTGTCTACACATGCCTGCATTGATGTTCACACTTCATGCTGTTTCCTCGTTCAGCCTCTGATTCTCTGTTGATCTACTGGCCACAAATAAACTGTTTTGTGTGACTGCTGTTTGGTGGCTGTACGAGAAGAAAACCAGACCTGGATGAAGGTGTGTTTCCATATCCTGTGTCATGAACATTTATTGTATACTTTTACTTGTTTCCATTTCAGCACGCTGCTACAATTTGACAAAATCTGACTCCTCATGCGAGTCTATATTAAAGGATTTTCCAAATAATAATTGTTGATTTAAATCCCACTTTTGAAATGAAATTTTTAAAACAAAATCTCTCCACAGGCGCGTGTCCAGGTAGTGGCCTTCTTGTTGCACCCCATCAACCTAAACTGTCATCAACCATTTGCTGGAGGCGGCATCTTGGCCTAAATCAACAGTTTGAAGAGTAAGCCGTACTCTTGAAGGTCCTCTTCAGTCTTATTCAGGTCGAACATGAATTCTCTGTCCATCAGTCACTCGCCTGAAGACGTGCTTTTGAGACAATGGTGCACAAGTCATTAAATGTTCTTCCTGCACATCTACTGTGTAGGCAGAGCATTCAGGATGTGGTCAAACATATGACATAGATTCAGAAATAAACTTCCTAATGTGGCTGCGAGGGCTGCAGAGCTCCTGCCTGCGTGACGTTGGACCTAAATAAATACATCTAATTATCAAACCGGCATTCTTTTTAGTGAGCGAGTGGAGACTCAAATATTTCCACAGATTAAACTCAATCCCACCGACCCCTTCAGCAGTCACTGGTCCACAGCTTCAGTCTCTTGAGCTCTGCGTCCGAATGACGAGCTTTTTGTTACTGTGGGTTTCCTGTTATTAAGCTACTCAGTCATTGTATGTAACTCCCTGTTTTGTGAATTGAGACATGTTCTGCTTAAGTTGAAGGCCATCGCTGGTCGGTGTTATAGGTGCTGTGATCCCATCATTAGATGTTGTAGAGTCGTGGTTGTTATTTTTTCTTTTTTAGACTCTACATCCTCGAAGTATTGATGGCAGAATAGGTGCTGAAGTCAGAACTCTGGATTTTCTTCTTTGGTCTTCGTGATGTCTGTTGGATTTCCAGTGCAGCATAGCACACATCTTCATCCTGAAATTTGACATTTGTTCTTTAGAATCGTGACCGTGTACTGATTTATTGCCATGAGTCAGTACTTTCTTGTGTTGCACCTACCCCATGCTGTCTTCTTTGAGGTGTTTGCTGATCAGGTTGTGGAGCTGCAGAAATCAATACAACATCAGTACAGACAGCGTGGTGCATCAACACTCAAACACGGATCAAAACAAGAGACTTCAGGTGTCTTTGTGGTAGAAATTCATTTAGTAGATCAATGACATTTCTTACATTTAGCTCTTAAGGAGCGGCATACAGTAGTTACCTTTTTTCTGACACAGATGATAAACTAGAAGAGAGGAGAGGACGGAGGAGAGGACAGCAATAGCTGGACACAGAGAGACCAGCAGAGTCCAACACAGAGGACAGAGACATTCTGGAGTCTGGAGCAGAGAATCGCTGCAGTCTGGACCTGAAACAAAGTTGTGTCAATACGCGTCATTAAACTCTGACCCACAACGATGAGACTGAATATTCTAGCAGCAGTTTATTGAAAATTCAAACTTTTCATTGAGCAGACGAACAAATATACTACATTGACATTACTATTTATTGTGCAAAAATGTTCTGAAAATTTCACAATTAAGTGAAACCTTCAACCGTTATAGAGCCTCAGATTTCACGTGCAAAATGATCCCAAACCTCACTATGCATAAAAATACAGTGCATTTAAGGATGACCTAGAACCCGTCAGATACATGAAGTCTCAGATTTGGGAATATGATTATTTGTCTAAACCAGCGGTTCTCAAACTCAAGAATGCCTCGGCCCACTTTGAAATCTGAAAATCTTTCGCGGCCCCCCCAAACCTTTAATCACAACTCTGATCAAAACGTAATGGTTTAATGGCCTTAAGAATTTAACCAAAATCAAACATCCGCGAGCAAAAGTCCGTCTCCGCGAGGTATTTGCTCGCTTGCGAAACGTGAACTTCGCTGCTCGCGAGGAGAATCTCTGCTCGCGCTGGAAGGAGTTTTCTACGCGCTCGCTGTTGTTCTTTCTGACAGTGAGGTGGAGACGGTGCTTCAATTAATGTTTCACATAACTAATGTGCCGCATCAGGAATATTTCTATATTAATTTCAAACTTTTAAAAATTGAAAATTAAAAAACTAATTATTTATTGTAAATGACCTCTCGCGGCCCGCCTGCAGTACCTTCCCACACCCAGCCCACACTTTGGGAATCGCTGGTCCAAACCATTATACTGTTTTATTTCAGATTGGCCGTTGTTGATTCCCATAATCTTTCTGTAACACGTCATAATAGTTCACATTGATATAAGTATATATGAGGAATATTTTCCTACTGGATAATTGTTTAGTAAAATCATGCAATATAGATCCACAAAGTGTAAGCAGCATACTTACTGATTAAGACTCTTGTTGTGACGTTTCCGTTTCTGTAAAGAGTTTGGCGGCCAATTAATTCTTTATCCTCCACTTTCTTCTCTTCAGTTCCACAGTAGTAGATTCCCTCATCAGAATCAGTGATGTTCATGATCAGCAGGTCATAAGAATTAGAAGAAGAGTTTCTCACAAATTGAAAACGAGGAAAATTCTGAGGATCTTTGGTGTCACTGGCCGGATTGTATCCTGATGTGGATGAACTACGGCCTACTTTAAGGACGAGAGGAGGCTGGTTCTCATGAGAGCAGTTCCTGTACCACACTATGTATAATCCAGTTGATGATTTACAATCACAGTAGAGAGTGATGTTGTCTCCTGGTCTGACTGTCACTGATCCAGAGATCCAATCATGACTGCAGGATGCAACTCCTGGAAAATAGAGAAAATGGTAAAGGCAGATTGAAATGTGCTCCGTGTTGGATGATTTCACATTACAGCAGGGGCAGATTTCTGCTCAACACAACAACAATGAGAGCGTAATTAAAACATCCAAAATAAGTCTCCATAGACTTACCTAAGAGAGCGACTAGAAAAGTGTGCAGCCCGTCCATGAGTGATGATGACCGAAAGTTAACAGACAGACTGATTTTACCCAAAGATGTGATGCCTTTGAAGACAACGTGTTCAATGTGATTGGCCAGTCAAGTGGAACATTTTCTTCTGTGGGATCTTTCTATTGGTGCAAAGATGTTTGTGGTATTCTGCGCCTTCCTGCTTCCCGTACGTGATTACTCTGTAACAAACACAATAAGATGAGCCCAACTGAGGGCTTGACATTACACAGCCTTGTATTTCATACACTGTTGTGTTTGTACAGTAGTACGTACAGTATGCTGAGGGGTTTATAGACATGAAGGACCAGAAGTTTACATTCCTCAAAATAAATAAATAAGGACCGTGTTGGATACAGTGAGCTTCATTTACAGTTCCAACAAGTCGCTATAGTGGCCAATTTACTTTATTATTATTATTGCTGTATTTATGTTTTTATATTATCAATAAGAATATTTAATTATTATAATAAAATGGTCAACACCGTCAAAATGTCTAGTCTCCAACCCAAAATGAAGTTTTACAGAGGACACTATTAGTGACATGTAGCTGGTCTTTGGCTGCTGTGGTAACTCACTCTAATGGTTTACATAGATGATAAACACAGATGAGCTCGCATTCAAAATGTATCTGGAAATTATACGCCCTGTGCGCCTTTTCTGTCAAACAAACTCTACAATGTGATTGGTCACGTGGAGATTTTTCATCTGTCTTGTTTCTATTGGTCTGAAACATGTGGTCTTCTGAGGTTTCCTCTTGTAGTTAAAACATTAGATTACTGCTGAGCCCTTCTTCCAGTGGGCCTTTGTAGGACTTATGATAGAATACAGCTGGTTTTTACTCATGTGGCAGAAGTAGAAGACACTAAAATCAACCATTTAGGGGAAAAATCCTTGTTTGTCTCTTTTAACACTTGATTGATATTTTATATTAAACTGTTTATATTTTCACGTTCTTTATTCTCTTTACTGTACTATCCAATAAAATCAAAGAAGTCTAAATAACACAATTTTTTTTGTATATGTGATACAAAAATGCTAAAGTTATGAACAACATAATATGATTGATCCTCATGTCAACTGCCAACAAAAGCCTACTATATTATACTACTTTTCCTTTTACAATAGTACATCATCTTGATTACATACTTGCATATTGAATGCTTTTGAATACAGGACTTGAATACCTGCACGTCTATATACATGTTTATTGCATTATCATTATTAACCCGAGAACATAAAAACCAGACACATGTGCACGTGACATTAAAGTCCACAGCGGCACATTCCTGGAATACCTGTGTAGCCATGTTGTATGTAATTGTGTCTTTACGAACATTATATGTGTGTATACATTTGTATGACTATATAAATATGTAACCCTGCTGGCGTTTCACTTCTACTGGAGCACAATGCTGTACTTCTCCTTCTACTTGATGCTGGTGATGGTCCACTCCTACATTCACCCCCTCACCCCCTTGACTGACCAGCTGGGCCTCACCCCTCCCCACACTCACCCCCTCACCCACCCGAACGACCGTCTGGGCTTCACCCATCCCCACAGTCACCCCCACACTCAGTCCCTCACTCACCTGACCAACCGGCTGGGCCTCACCCGTCCCCACAGTCAGCTCCACAGTGACCACCTCACCCAACTCCTCACCCACCTGCTGGGCCTCCCCCATCTCCTCACCCACTAGACTTACTAGTAAGTGGCTGGTCCTCACCTGCCCCCTCTTCCTCCCTGGCCTCCCCCCGGTTCTGGTCCCGAGTGGAGGGGTTCTTCTCCGGAAAAACCCTCGCCAGGTGTCCCTCTCCACCACAACGGAAACACCTCCCATCATCCGATGTGACAAACATCACATAGTCGAACCCCTCGATCCTCACCTTGATTACCTGAGAGCATGGGCTTTGGTGAGGACCATGTCGCGCTGTCTCCTGTGAGACAGTGACACCACATGTCTTAGCTAAGGAAACCGGCACCCTGGGGACACCTTCTTTATCTGGGACACCACCTTCCCGTGATTCACCAGCTATGATAGAGGATAAATAGTTGTTACTGGTTCCCTGATACTTCGCTTCGCTCCAATAAAAGATTAGATATGGTTTGCTTGAAATCAATGTTTGATAAAAGAGGTTCAAGTAAGGAAGTTGGAGAGATTAGAAAAAGCCGTAGAGAACGTCTCCATCCAGAAGGGATCTACCAGCTGAGATGTGCTAGCTAATACACAAGGCCTCCTCATATACTGCTGTATACCGCTTTGATGTTCAATGAACATTTTTGAGATTTTATCAAAATGTGCTCGCTGCTCGATACTGTTGCTGCAGTTACAATTTACAACATTGAAGGAGATTTTCCACGTTAAAAACGTCTGACAGTTTGATTAATGTTTGTTTTAACATCTCGATTATCTCACAACTGACAAAGAAGATGAAAGATGTAAGAAACGTTTTAGCTTGTTAGTTTATATTCAAGTATCACATGTATTACTCTAAAAGGGTACTTTTCATTTAGCAAACCAGTGCAAACAGGTTCACTTGTGCATTGATGAATCTGCTGGATTAAACACACAAGTTAAATGAATGTTTAAAGTTAACTTGGTTCACATAGCAATGAGCGTAGGAGCCAAGGCAATGTACCCAATCCTGTTTTAGGTTTTTCCTTTATTCAAACCTTTATTTAAATATTTGGTCACTGTGCAGAACAAAAACATGTCTTCAAGTAAGTGTTTTCTTATAGACTATGAACAGTTACATTACTTATTCCCTGCAAATAAAGTTAATTAACTTTGGCTCTTAATTTTGTGACAAGGAATGAAATATTGTCACACTGAATGGCCAACCGGTCGGAGCCAAAGAACTAATTCAGAGTCCAGCAGCTATAACAAATGTACAATCAGGATTTAGCTCAGTGTCATTTAGTTTTTCTTCAGCTTCTTATTTCACCTTATTTGCTTCATCATTTTCACCTTTTCAATAGAGGCCAGCAGAGTTCCTCTGGTGTGGCCGATGTTACTTTCCTTTTCCTTCTTTTGTAATCCCAGAATTTTTTGTCCATTTCCTTAAATACCACGTCTCACTGCAAGAAATCATCGTCCATCCAAAAGTGCTGCACTACGTTGTTCAGACAAACGGCCGATGTCGAGTGAGCCTGTGAGCCCACTGACCACGGTGAAACCACACTGCACGCTGTCTGCAAACAAAAGACACCCGCGCACAGTGCAGAGCAGAGCATAGCTGTGTTAATTGAAGACAGGCCCTGTGTAGCCCTCTTAGATTCCGGAAGTAATCACACCCTAGTCAGACAGGACAGGCTCCCAAGGGATTTCATTTTATGTAGAGGGACAGTTGATGTTTTCTGTATTCATGGTGACAATGTACGTTACCCCATAGCTGAGGTAGCTATCCACGTTGAAGGTCAACACTACTTAAGCACCTGCCCTATCAGGTTGTGTTAGGCTCTGATTTACCTATTCTGGCAGAACTGATAGCCAAGCAATCGTGTGAGGCTAGAGCAAGACGCACCAGCGAAAATCTGCTGGGTGTTACTAGGTTGAAAACCAAGCAAGAACAAGTTAGTTCAGCAGAGTGGGAGAGCTGCCATTTGCAAATGTGGAAGTCCCCCGAGGGTGAGCACACTAGCCACTGTATGGCTGTGTGTAGGAAAGGAAAAGCAAGAGAGAGAGGAGACGAGACAGAGTAAGGGTAACAAAAGTTGCTGAACAGGTGGTGAAGCCGGTAGAATTAAACTTTTTTCCGATTCCTAGTGACATTGCTAAGCTACAGAGAGAAGACTCCACACTTGTCACGTTGTTTGCTAAATGTGTACCTGAGTCAACCCAGGGGATGGGTAGAGGGAAGGAAGCATTTGTGGTCAAGGGAGACAAGTTGTATCGGCGTAGCCAGATTGGTGATCAGTTAGTCATCCCACAGAGTTAAGACCCATTATCCTTAACCTGAGCCACTCTATCCCATGGGCGGGACACTTGGGACAGGCTAAAACATTTCCGAGAATGGTTACTCGGTTCTATTGCCCCCAGCAGTACACAGACACAATAAAATGGTGCCGGTCTTGTCCACAGTGTTATCGGCTCCAGGCAGGAATGGAGATAGAGCTCCCCTCATTAGCATGCCCATCATAGATGCACCCTTTTCCCACATTGCCATGGACGTGGTAGGTGTAGACTTTAGTGTACGCTAAAAAGGTGTAGTGTAGGCCACAGGTACATACTGGTGGTTTGCGATTATGCCACAAGATACCCTGAAGCCTTCCCCTTGAAAAAGATCAAGGCTCGCTAGATTGCCAACTGCCTCATTTAGATGTTTTCCAGAGTGGGAATCCCCAAGGAGATCATCACAGACCAAGGCACCAACTTCACCTTAATGCCTGCTAAAAGAAGTGTACAGCATGCTGGAAATTCAGGGGGTAAAGACCAGTCCCTACCATCCACAAACGGATGGCCTAGTGGAGCGCTTCAACAAGACCCTCAAGTCTATGCTGAAGAAGTTTGTGAATTACTCTGGGTCAGATTGGGACCGATGGCTGCCATTCGTGCTGTTTGCATACAGAGAGGTTCCACAAGCCTCTACAGGGTTTTCGCCTTTCCAGCGGCTATATGGACATCCAGTGAGGGGTCCCATGGATGTCTTGAATGATGCCTGGGAGGGTCCTATGCCACAACAGCAGTGCAGTGAGCTCTCGTATGTCCTGAAAATGAGAGGCAAACTGAACCAATATCAGGAGCTAGCCAATGGTCATCTGGCGGACGCACAGCAGCGTCAGAAGAGGAGTTATGATAAGGCATCGAAGAGAAGAATTTTCCAGGAGGGCCAGAAAGTTCTGTTATTGCTACCAACATCAGACAGTGGTCTCCTGGCTAAGTGGCAGGGGCAATATAAGATTACAAAAAAGCTGGCCCTGTTACGTATGAACTCTTTTTACCAGATCAGCGGAAAAAGAATCAAGTCCGTGAACCTTCTAAAAGAGTGGGTAGACCAATCGGAGCAGTCTTTAATGTGGGCACGCACAGTTGTGGATGAGGAAGAACTTCAGGAGCAGTATTTTCCCACATCAACGGAGACTCCAGTGTTTCCAGATCTGAGTCATCTGGAGCCAGGAAAACGCAGGAAACTACAGGCCTTCATGCATAAAGATCTCTTTAGTCTAAAGCCAGGTTGTACAA